ATGCCCGATTAAATTTGAAACTTATTAGTTGAATTTGAAACGTCGTTCACTAGTCAGACGTAATTCTTTAGTCATATCCAAGGAATTATAAATATGGAGTTGCTCTATGACGTGGAAGTCTAACTCTAATTTATGCTCAAAGTCAGTGAGATTAAAAAACATGAATTAAGATCTTGCGGAATATCATTCTTTCTATACCACTTCTGGTGTTCGTTCCTAGGAACATTTTTGAAAATAATCAAATATTTAAATGCAAATAGTTCCGATGAAATCAGAATATCTATCACTAAAAGTTAATGTGTGTTTTTGTAATGATTTATTGTGCAAGGTATGGGAATGATTCAATAATGATAAGTTCATTTCTGATATTTTACTTTACTCAATGCAATCGTTTGAATTTGAAGTTCATAACATTCTTATATTTCAGTGATAAAACTGACCATGTTATCGTTAAATTGTGTGATGATATATTCGCTGAATTGACACTTGACAGGGCTGAGGTAACTGATTTGTTCATTACTTTTCGAATTGTCTATGTTATTTTTTGAATTTAATTTTATAATACGTCATTGTAAAAGAAAAGTTTCTCAGTGTTGTGTGAAACTTTTTTTTATATTGTGAAGAAACTGAACATTTAGTAGCTATCAGAAGACCCTTTGATAGCTCAGCTGATTAAATTTAGTGCCTAAATAGTAGATAATGTGGGTTTGACTCCTTTGGTTGATGAATTTTTTCTACTCAAAACAGTTCATCATTGGATCAGAATTTGATGAGCCTGATCTGGGCACCGAATTAATTCGTCGAAATGAAGCTTGTTTTTAGACGTTGTTAAGTTTGAGGATACGATGAGATATTACTGGATGGTCTGGTTTGTGTCTAGATAAATTTATGGGTTATATAGGTTAATTGAAGATGTAAACGAAGAAGACTGAATTGGAAATCGGTGTTGACGCTGTTGGTATTGTACTCATTAAGAGTGATCTTAATTTGCAGACTTTCATTGAGAAACGAATCGATCTATTGAACAGTCGAGTTGATCAGTTACAAAAAGAAGCGAATTCAATTAGAGCTCAAATGAATTTGGTTTTATCTTCATTGGATAAACTCAACACGCTTGAGGATACCAAATGATACTCATTAGTACTCATCATTGTGTTTATATATATTTTTGTTGTTGTTTTGTTGAAATATTTTGCATTATTACTGTGCGTTAGGGGAAAGCTTATCGTGAAAGAAAATGTTTTAAGGTTGGAGCATTTATGATAGTATGTTGTTAATTTTATTGTTAATCTTCTATTCATCATAATTATTTACGACGGTTTAGATGTTTATTGTATGCGAGTGAATCCGACGTAATCACTATTAGAGGGTGATAATTCATCTCATCTCGTATACTTTTGACATCTTTTGGTTTGGCTCTGATCGTTTGTAACTTTGATTTTTCTACAGCAAAGTCGAAATCCTCTTTGAAGCGAGCAGGGGACGGGGAAGACTTCTTCTTATATGAAGAATATTGGCATGGAAATTTTTCCACGATATCATTCATTCACTCATTCATCGCAAGCTTAAATCCATGTTTATGTTCATCTTTAGGAATTTTATCGATAGAATTCGAAATATTGCGAAGTTGTTTCGTTTTGAAAAACGTGATCGTTGTTTTTGAATTGAAGAACCCGATACTGACAGTGATCTCTTATATGGGTTGTTTGTAGCTGAGAGTTATTTTGTTTTGATTTATTTCGTTTGCTTCTGATGAATTCCTCTTTGAAATAATAAATGTATTCAATACAATACAACAATATCTCGTTGCAATGCTTTGTCTTCTTTCAAATTAAATACTTTTCAAGTTACAATTTGATTGTTATTATTTAATCTCACCATTCTTCAAATCATCATTAGTGGTATAAAATTTAGATTGAACAAGTATATGTGACAACTGCTTGGAGTATCTTCGCAAGACTGGATTACGATGAACATAATGTTACTAAATATTGTATAGTTCGGAGTAAATATTTAAAATATATGTTAGCGAATTAGATAGAATTACTTTGATGAATAATTTTTAGCGAATGTAATTTAAAATGGAATAGTTGAATTTATTGAGATGAATTGGATTGATTCAGCACTTCTTGCGATCCGTTCCAAAATTTACAATTTTGATTTTGATGACATTTTTGCGGTTGCTTTTCAATTTTATCACGTTGGTGCTAGTAAACTAGTTTCAATGGGAGTATCGTATTCGTTTGTTACTCTCTGCTAGATTCAGTAAATCTATCCATATGTTCAAATACAAATAGATTTCAGTTGAAAATTCGATGAAACAAATGCAAAGATGATCGTTGGCTATACGACAAGCGAGTGGTTGAAAGTGAAGTCGTTGTATCGGAGTGATGATCTGGCCGAGTTGCGTTATGCGGTCGCCATTCTGCAGGTGTGGCGTATTCGTATGGGTAACTCGATGCATGTGGCCGCGGAAATGAGTGAACTGATCCTATCGGCGATCATCGCAGACAAAGAATCGACGGCACTCTCAGCGGCCACTAGTGACAGCGATTGGTTGTCAACATTCAATCAACGCTTGCTCTACAGTGCGGCAGTGATTCGCTTCGTGAACTATCTCAACGAACTCTGTCAACAGAAACAACCGGCCAGAACAATGTCCATCAAGCAAGCCGTCAGTATGATGAATGTGCCATCGTGGGTTGTCGAAGTACGTCATCAGGCCACTCATCAGCATTTACCGTCACTGAATATTCTGAGAACGGCCACAAATTGGTGTCGCGATTGGCTGTGGTCAAATCATTGGCAGAAGCCAATTGACGAGGCAGTGCTCTACAATGATAACGACGAGGATATGCATCAGTTGATAACAATTTACGATCAGATTGAATTGTTGATCAATGATTTTATCAGAGATCGAATGAACTCGTTGAAC